ACAAAAAAATAAAAACAAAACTGAAAAAAAAGAAAAAATCGAAAGCCAAAAAAAAAAAAAAAAAAAAAAACTCTGTGCCACAAAAGGTGCACCTGTTCCCAACACAAATCACTGCCAGGCCTTTGGAAAATTATTTACGCCGCTTAGTGAATTCTGTTCAAGTCTAAATCTTTCATTCCGGTATCGAGAAAAGTCTCCCTCGGCGTTTGGCCTTTACGAAGAGGGTAGAAAAGGAGAGGGAAGGAGGCGAGGGAGAGAAAAAGGGGAGAGGGGAAGAGGGAGGGAGGGAAGAAAGGAAGGGAGAAGGAGGGAGAGAAAGGGGAGGGAGGAGGGGAGGAGAAAGGGGGAGAGGAGGGAGGGGAGAAGAGGGAAGGAGAGAAAAGGGAGGGAGAGAAAAGGAGAGAAGGAAATGGGGAAAGGGAGGGGAAAAAGGAGAGGAGGGAGGAAGAGAGAGAAAAGGAGGGGTAAAGAGGAAGAAAGAAGAGAAGGGGAGAAAGGGAAGGGAAAGAGGAAAAGGGAGGGAAGAAGAAAGGGAAGGAGAGGAAGAGAGAAAAGGTGGAGGGAGAGGGAGGGAAGAGAAGAGAGAGTAGAAAAGAGGGAAAGAGAGAGGAGAGAAGGAGGGAGGGAGATATAGGAGTTGAGAGCAGAGACAAGAATGAATAGAGGGAAGAGAGGAAGGGATGGGATAGACATAGAGGAAGGGAGGGGTAGGAGGGAGGAGATAGTAAGAGGAGAGAGAAGAATAAGATAAAAGAGAAGTGAGAGATATAAGACTAGACGATACGTAGGGAGGAGAGAGGGAGGGAAGGAGGAAGGTCGATACGTAGGGAGGGAGGGGTAGGAGGAAGAGAAGAAGGCGAGAATGAATAAATAAGACCAAGTGACAGATGACTGTCACACATCCAACTTCATGGCTACTTCAGCCGATTTTTTCTCGCCACTCCTGCATCATTATTTCTTTTTCTCTCGCTTATTCTTCTCCTCTACCTTCCACTGTATCCTCTTTTTTCTTCTCTTTCTCCTTCTCTTCCTTCTTTTTCTCCTCTAATCCTAATCCTTCTCTTAATCCCTATCATTTTTCTCCTTCCTTCCCATCCTTTTTTTCTCCTTTCTCCCCCAATCTTTTTTTTTTTCTCCTTCTCCTCCTAATCCTTCTTATTTTTCCCCTCCTTCTCCTCTTCTCCTTCTCAGTAGCCGTTGTCTCCCCTCCCTCCCGTCCTCCTCCTCGTTTATCAATTAGTCTTTTGTCGTCGTCATTCTTCTCCTCTTCTTCATTTTTCACACAGTCCTTCTCTTCCTAGAAGTCGTCGTCGTATTTCTCGTCCTCGTCCTTGTCCTCCAAGTCACCTTCCACCTCGTCCTCGTCTTCGTCACCCTCGCCCTCCTCATCCACTTCGTCCTCGTCGTCCTTGTCGTCCTCCTCGTCCTCGTACACCTGGTCCTCGTCCTCTTCGTCTACGTCGTCCTCGCCCTCCTCATCCACCTCGTCCTCCTTGTCCTCGTTAACCTCGCCCTCCCTGCCTTCCCCGCCCTTCTTACCCACCTCGTCCTCGTCGTCGTCCTGGTCCTTGTCCTTCGCGTCTTCGTCGTCCTCGCCCTCCTCATCCACTCTCCACCTGGTCCTCGTCCTCCCCTCCTCATCCACCTCGCCCTCTTCATCCACCTCGTCCTCCTCCTCCTCCCCCCTCGTCTTCCCTCACTTATCGGTCCTCCCACGCCCTTCCACCCCCCCCCGTCCACTGTCTCCCCCCCTTCCCGCCCCGCCCCTCGAAGAAAAGAAACCCCCCTAAAAAGGTGTTTCCGAATTCCTTGGCGCCGCGACTTTCCTCGATCGCGGACCGGCTGCCATTAGACTTAAATAAAGACATTTGTTCCGGCTCTCCGAAGAGAAATATCGTCATTACGGAAGGAGCGGACGATGCCATTTACGTCGAGGGCCGGGGGGGGGGGCGGGGGGGGGGGGGGGGGGGGGGAAATAATCATAAAAAAAGCGCACCCAACACGCCCATTTATCACAATCAGGGCGATGTTACTTTATGCAAGGGGGTGGAAAGGCCCATTGATGTTTAAAACACGGGCGTTTGAATAATTTCACAGCCGGCCTGCGCTCGCGATGAGATATTAGCATCGAATGAATAAATGAATGAATGAATAACTGAGGACACGTATGGTGATGACTGTATGGAAGTTCAAAGAAATATTTCACCTGCTTCTACACATGCCATTCGCCTGCGGGTAGCAATGTGCAGTAAGTATGCGTATATATATACACAAGTTGCATGTATGAATAAACAGAGAGATTAATAAAAACTACATTAGTAAATAAACAGGCATTTAAATTTGCATGGACACGTGGCATGTACAGGGATTTATGTGCGCGCGCATGCACACACACATGTACACCCACACGCACATACACGTACACTCACACACGCACACACATGTACATTCATACGCACACGCACACGCACACACACATACACACACACACACACATTCACACACACACACACACACACAACACCACACATAGAGTATAT